TTCCCTACATCATTTGCAGTAATACACCCAGAAATATATCATCTTCATTGCTTCCCACAAACACTGCAGTTAGGCAGGGTAAGAGAAACAACTTTAGAAATTTTCAAACTTCTCTGTGCACTTCCTTCCTTGCTCTCAGCAGTCCCCAGCTACAACCATCTTTTTTCCTGTTATCACAAAGGTATGACTGGATTTGTTTTGTTCCAGGAGATGCTGTTCTCCAAGTAGCTCGAGTGTGCTCTGCTAGAATTCCTAAGCAAAGGAATTTGTAGTGCTGTGAAGTGGACACAGGAACCAGTTTGGCTTCTCTGCCTGTTTTCACTGTCTTTGTAGTGGGATCCTAAACCTTGTAGAGAATGTTCTTATTTTCCTACTATTTTCCTGAACTTCTTGGACCTTTCAATCTTTTGAAATATCCTATTTCAGTTTTCATGCTGAACTGTCTCTTATTTCACTAGTTTTCAAGGTAACATAGAAATGATTTGAAAACGTTAACATTTTCTTACAATCTGTGTTAGAAGTAACTTCATTTAAATGAAACATGCAAATATAATTTCTTTTAATGAAGCTATAGACCTTTTTTAGACAGAACAAATGGTTATTTTTTTGTCACATGTTCACAGAGGAGAATGCTGAATTTAGCATTTGTCTGGATTACAAAACTTTGTTGGATGTTATTTTGGATACCTATAAAATACTATCATAACATACTTACAACAGCAGGTGAGGGAACATGAATGCTGGGAACAGATCGGGGACGCACATGATTTGCTAAATGGCACAGAACGACACCATCGGTGAGAGCTGCTCCAAGATCACTGGGCAATGACACTTTCAACCGTGATTCTATATTCTGTAGAAAAATGAACATGGACACAAAAAGTAAGAGCTGTTTTCCTCCAACTGTTTCATTCTGCAGAACATTTTGTAAGAGGCATTACAACTCTGTCCATCCAGCTGAGTAATGCCAAGAAAGGCTCTGCACACTACTGTGGCCCAGAGCTGACCACAATCTGGGAGCCCTTAAGTTCAATGATGAATAGTTTTCATTGTATAGCACAGGGGACTAATACAACCATTATTAAAAAGTAATGGAAATCGGGAACAATATTCCTAATCCTACGTATTCTCAGAGAATGGTTCTGCCAAGGGAAGTGAAAATAATTGTCTTTGTGGGTTGGAGGACAACAGTTACCAAAAGTCACGATAACATTTTTCCCTGTAAAGAAAATTCCAAACTACTTGACATAGTTTTAAAGAAACGAGGCAGTTTAGCATCTGAGTAGGGGAATGAATAAAATTTCAATTCAGGCTTTTAATCTTATTTCAAATGCTGTATGAATTGCATCAAGCTGTTAAACTGTATAAAAAAAAGTATAAAAAAAATTTAGGCTTACTTGGGAAGCTGAACAAGACGACAGACTACATACAAACATTCTGAGATTGCAGAGCCTCTCTTATGTTAACAGCACCAAGTTTTGCTTTGTTTTATTTAAGATAACTTTCTCCTTTTAGGGAAAGGAGATTGTCCTTACTTTAAAATTTACAAAGAGAAGGAACTCACTCTGTCTTTGTGGGGTGCATATGGCTTTTAAAATCAGCTTTAACAAGTAGGAATTCCCATTTTTTGAGACAGTTCGAACAATAAATTAGAGGACCTCAAGGAATCCCTTCGTGCTCTCCAGAATCAAGTCTGGGGCAAAGCAGAGCAGTACCTTAAAGCCATGTGGCATTTTTCAATATTTGTGTGCGTTGCCATTGTACCTGGGCACAAACCAGGAGTGTGGTGGCCCTGAACAGGCAAAAAGCACAAGTATGAGGAATATTTGTGCCTCAGATGTTCTGCACTTAACTGAGAGTAAGGCAAGAATCAATAGACAGATCCAGAGCACAGAAGGAAACCGTGCTGTCAGCATGACTGGCAGGAGTCTCTGAACTCCATCTGCTTTTCTGTAGGCTTTTCTGTGGGCTACAGCAAAGAGGAGTTTTAAAAAAAGATATTAAAAGGAAGACAGTGAGGCAACTTTCCAGGGAGTTCCTTACAAGTGCAAAGGCTAATAAGGAAGAAAGAAAGCACACGTTCTTTTTAAAAGCAGAGATCACCAGAAGCTCAGAAGCGGGAGTCAGCACAGTGTATTTTACAGAATTTGAAGCTCACTTTATCCACCACAAAACCCAAAGCGAACACCACTGCTTCCATGTGAAAAAAACCCCACTCAGACTGTACAATGCCATTTAATTTTAGTCAACTGTACACCATATTGGTTCAGTGAAAAAAGTCCAAAACACAAGGAGAGTTTTAGCAGCGTGCACACAATGCATTTACTAAGATGTCCATGTACTGACTCCGGGCAGCACTTACCTTACGTAGCTGCTCTATTAGCTCCAGCTCCTCCTCTCGTTGTTTGGAGTTTTGTCTTACTCTAGGGTCTGCAGAATCATTAGCAGGAGACAAGGCATGGGTATGAGAGGAAGTAAAAGCTAAAAAAGCAGCATGAAGGAAAGAAAAATCACTAAGCGTGGTTTGGCTGATTGTCCTTCGCTGCTGTACTAGACATGCACATACAAGGTTTCAGAATGGGTACAGTGCATTCCTTTTCACAAACCTGTTTGTTTCATTCGGTTATTAATCAAGCAAATGATCTACTAATCTAAATGAGGTGTTCTATAACACATTTTCCTTTCTGTTTAGATTCTCTTGGCTAATAATCATTCACAAAAGGAGGACAAAGTTTTGTCGCATGAAGTATGTTGACACAGTTCAGTCTTTCTACAGAAACTGCAATTTTGTTATGTGCGACTGTGCAATGCAACACTTATCAAGCTGCCTTCATCAGTTGTTGAAGACTTTTGTGGCATTTCCTTGGTATCTTTTTAGGCGTGAGCACAGATTAGGAGGAACAAATTTCCACATTTCCACAAATATGACAAAAGAATATTTGACAGCTCTAAATAAAAAATTGCTTATTATCAAAGTATTTAATGCCATGTGGCTACAAACGGAACTCAAAGTAGTCTGATGATAATGACCTGAAGTAACAGAACAGTGCGAAACCTAGGTAATGCAGATGTTAATATAACGTAGCAAAGCTAGCTGATTTCTGAGCTATATAACCTACCTTTGTTTGCTTCATCCCTGACAGCTGCTTGGAAAAGGAAACTCTCAGGTCGCTGGGAAGGGTTTCTATAGGAAGGCGGGGCTGCATGGCCAGGATATGGAGGGGAAAGGTGGACTAAACAAATGTGGAAAGGCACAGGAAAGGAAAGGAAGAAGGAGGAAATGGTTAGAGTTTAAATAGGAAATGGGTTCAGCAATGTGGTAATTAAAAAGAACAAAACAAAAATTTTAATATAATAATGACAAAATAAATTACAGCCATGCATGATAAAAGCGCAGAGCAGGAAAAGGCACTTCCAAGGACACTTGCATGCAAAGCACTTTCCACATACCAATTCCAACAACTGTTCCGACTGTTGCTGAAAGCATCTGTGTGCCAAAGCCTGGATGAAGCCCTAAAGCAGCCAAACCCTATGCTCTGCCTGAAGACACACTTCACCCCTGTTGTCTTCCCTCTCATGCTTTTAAGGAGACCCAAATAGCTGGGTAAATTCTCAAACACAGCAGTGCCGCATACAGAGATGGAAACAAATGCTCCCTTCTCTTCACAGTACAAATAAGCAAGCAGGCATTTTGATCTTATTTATCAGAAATTTTTCTTCCTTTCCCTGTTACCTGTCTGAGTGGTAGGTGAGCTGGGAGAGATGGTAGATCTGTCATCACTCTGTGGACAAAAAAAAGCAGAAGAGTATAAATGGTCCTAATCTGGAAAAATCTGTGAATACATTTTAATCTGCTGTATTTTAAAAAAGGCTCCATCCATCTAAACGTGTTTCAGAAAAGAAACCCAGAAATGTGAAAAAACACAGTATTTTGTTCCCCAAGTCTCATCTCTGCAGAAAGTAACACATTTTTTTCTTTTGCAGAAATGACACAATTGCTTTTTTCTGAGGAAAAAGAACGATGAAACAGCACTGACTGTGCAATGAGAGATCTTTGTTTATTCTTCCTTCCAACCAAAACTTTCAAAGCATTCTTTGCGAAAGGGCCACAGAAAAACAGATGATCAAATAACATGCAGAACTTGCAGCACCAATAAGAATACACCTCTTCAACATCTTTGCTAATGCAAAACTGCTATTTAATGAACATCACTCTCCTAGCGAAACACATTGTGGTTTTATTCCAGTGCTTACACAGACTAATGATTTCTTGTAATTAACACAGCACAGCAGTATCGACAGAAGAGAAAGAAATACAGGATATCTGCATTCAATTGTAATAGTAAGTTGGTAAAGAATACAAAACTACTTTTGATGAATTCAACTTGGTCAAGAGAAAAACCACAAAAAGTAACATCAAAGAAAACCAAGAACCCCTCAGAGACTGGTTACCATGTTTTGATAGCTTAGGCCTCCTGTAGACACAGCCTAAAGCTAAGATGAGGTAATATCTACTACAGTTTAATCAGGTAAATTGGATTCATACCCTACCTGAACTTTTGATTAGAAGCTGACAGACTAACACCTGTTAAAACAGATGTGTGGATCCAAGAGTTTTTTGTTGGCTTTACTGGTGAATGATAATAGCAAGAGATACCTTGACAGGACTGAAGGTAGAGGCATTAGGCAGGGTAGTAGCACAGCTTTCTTGATTCAACCCTGAGAGCGACTGAATGTAGAGAGAAAGAGAAGGCAGTAGCAGTGTTAGCAAATGGCTGATAGGTCATGCACAAAGGTGGAGTGCAGTAGACAAGTTAAAAGAGGGGATCACGATCACATTCTCGGAAACACTCAACAGGCAACTGATACATACTGCTGAACTACAATTAAAGCCTTCCTACCTTCCTGAACTTTCTGGCTAATAAGCTTGGGAGATGCGATCTTTCTTTTACACACAACACAGTGACATCAAAAGCAGAACTAAAAGCAGTAAGTGAGGTAAAAAACTTCTTTATTAACGCATGATGTAACACCTATGCCATCAGACAAAGGGAAATTTTACCCAACAACAGTTCATTCTGAGCCACTATTCAAAATAAGTAACTTTCTTTTTAATGTTTCAAAAATATTATGCATTTTTAGTAAGTTGTTTTCCTATCAACTTTGTAAAATCAGAGAGACTCACATCTAACAGGCTCAAGAATACATACTTTGTGTCTGCCACAGACACCTAATGCTGACCCTTGTGAATTACACACAAAGTAAATAAGATTCCATGGATGGAATCTAGCTCTCGGGGAAGATGTCAGCGTGAAGATTTACAGTGCTGTCACAAGTAAAGTGCAGCCAAATTTTAATTATAACCAATATCAAACCCAACCAAATAAACAACTTTTCGTGTTTCCAGAATGGGAGCTCTAGCATACCAACCAACCTGTCACTGACAGGTGATCTAGAAGGCCAAATTCTGTGTCTACGGAAAGCACAATCAAAATGTTAACACTTGAGGACTGAATGGCTCAAGAATGAACCTATGCTTTCTGAAACAGCATTCAAATCAAAAAATGGTAGCTCAGCACAGGAAAAGAACACTAAACGACACCTAAGAACTCTACAGATGTGAACAACACACTCAGGAGTGTTAGCATTTTAAATGGTTTGCAACTATTCTGCCACTTCAAAATAGCGCAGCCAGGAAGGACTAGAATGAGAGGTTATACTCAGGGCAAGCCTTAAACATAAACATCTTTAGGCCCTATGCAGACTTAACAGCTGATCCTCAAAACAGCCTCTTTCTCCACAGCAATGCAGAGCAAAAATTGCGGGTTTCTTTCTTAAGAGTTTCAACATATCACTTGACTTAGGCAAAACATTAGCTAATGTATGAGAACAGTAAAATACAACAGAGGTAGGCTGTCTGTAACTTCCTGTATGAAAAGAGCAAGACAACCTTGACACAGACTCACAAGAAGTCATCACAATCCATGTACCCAGTAGTGGGCGAAGGGAGGGGTAACATGGCACACCAGACGGTAGGACAACCACAACAGCAACACACTGCATGCTCTTCACCTGTTTGCGAGTCCCTGGCCTTCTTTTAATGGTATTGGTATTACTGTCAATCTCAAACACAAAGAGAGGCTCAAAGCCATTCTGTCAGGGACAGCAAGGAAAGAGAAGGAAGAAAGGAAGAAGTGAGGCAAAGAACTGGAAGAAAAGGTAGCTGCAATACAGAAGGAACCAGGACCCTGCAATTCAGACTTATTACATTATACTGCACATGCCGCACTTGGCCTCTAGGTCTAGCACTGAAGTCAAGAATCTCCCTGTGCCAGAAACAACTGCAGATAGATGGACTGCCAAAGCAGAGGCCAACCAGAACTCTGCACCAACCAAATAAGGATATTTTAAGGGAATTTGATTATTAAACATTTGAATACACAAATGGATGCCAACGGTCTGAGAGAAAATTCCAGGGTACAAGTTAGCATAATTCAAGTCCTGCTTACTTTACCCATACCATTATTATTTGTAACACACTGGTGACTAAAAGCCTTAACTTAAAATGTTTCACAGATCCCATGTGCTAACAGTAATACGATGGCCTCAGGCCACGTTTAAGACCACGACTAGAAAGCACAAAGCCATAAAGGGAGCACAAGGCAGCAATAACATGAAGGTTATGAAAGGAAGAGGTCACACCAGGCTCCTCAACAGAGAAATTGAGCAGCAGTTTGAGAGGATATTTTATTTTTTTCCGTATTTGGTATTTTCCATAGTACTCACCTTGTAAGGGACAGTATGGGAGAAAACAAGAAGATATTTGGGGAAAGTGAGATTCATAAGCAATCAAGGCTGAAATCATTAGCCAAGTCTGAAGCACTGATGCTATTTCAACAAGTAATCTCAGTTGTAACAAATGGGACTACCCTTGTGAGAACAGCAAGCAGGATATGACTAATAAAAAACTTTGAGGTATACAGCACATTTTCTCAGAGAGGCCAGTGATTACATTTCTTCAGTAACATTTTAGTTAGCCTGGCTATTACAAGTCAACACAAAGAAATCCACCCCATTGTGCAATAAAGTACTACAGCCAAACTCCACTTCACTTCCAATCACAGGCATGTAGAAGAAACACACAACTAAACAGAACTATTAGCATTCATAGAAAGTGTGGGTAGTCATTCTGTCAGTTCAGACTGTCCTGAAACTGTTTACAAACAGAAGGGAATGGTCAGAGTAACCTGTGCAATGTGAATACATTTTAATTAGCAGTAAAAGACAACAAGGAGAAGACCAAAAGAAACACGATGTAAGATTTAAAAAAAAGGAGATTCACAACTTTAATTTTGGTTTTAAGAAAATTTTTGTTAAAGCAGTAACAATACCAGAAGAGGGAAGTAGTAAAATAAAGCGTACTTGGTTTCTAACTACATATTAGATTTATTACTTTTTTAATCTTTTCCTTACATCTGAGCTGAAAACATTGTTTGAAGGAAAAAAGCAGCTGCTCAGTTTACAGAGTTCTGATGCAACAAGGGAAACGCTGAACAAAGGATCTTTTAATCTACCTTGGTAATATTCTCTTTTGCCACAAAGTGTTATTCCCGCACCGCAAAGCTATAACAATCAGTGGAAAATCTAGAAATTTTTTTTATTTTTTAAAAAACCCTAACCTATCTGCAAGTTTCAATGTTCAGAAGTTTTGTAAGGCAAAGTCTACACTACTGTATGCAGTCTTTATGCAGAGAGAGAAAAAGAGAGGAAACTATAGAAATAGAAAACGTGCACTGAAACCTGCCATTAGTGAATAGAATTTTGATATGAAATGACTCTATACTTTGGTGGAGGAAAAAACCATCCTCAGAATTTAGACCCCGCTACATTTCAAATCCATAAGGACAGGGAAAATGTCAAATGAAATCCAATCAAATATAAAAAGGTAAAAATAATTTCAACTTTTATGACAGATTTTTTTTTTTTTAAAAGCAAACTAAGGAACATTTCCTTGTTGTTGAACAAGTTTTTACCATATAAAATACATTTGTGGAAACAAAAATGCTACAAATTCATGAGCTAGTCTGGGCTTAATGTTCCAGTTACAATAATTGCCAGAAACAGCTGCCCTGGCATATGTCATCATTAGACACAGTGCGTATTTCCACTACAAAATAGAGCTGCAGATCATACTTCAGCAGTTCAGAAAAAACAGTATTTCATCTACTGTTATAGTTTAGTGCTGCTGAAAAGAACAAGGAATCAAAAGAAAAATTATTAGAGAAACGATCGCTTTAAAATGTAATTCAATCTTCCCCTCCCAGCCTGTCCACTTTTTTGTGAAGTGCAAGAATCTAACTTGAATACACAAAGGAAACAAACAGTGATGGAAGCCAGTTTCAAAATAATTTCTGAAAATTCCAAGTCATGTAACAAAAAAATTCTCTATATTAGTTTATATAAAAAGTCATGGGATCACACAATCAAATAGAAATGGGGTCCTTAAAGCTGTCTTTAAAATACATTCCCAAAGATGAATTCACTGACAACAGAATATCAACACTTAACCCAAACCACTGCTACTCTCCTGTTTCTTATTATCTAAATATGAAAGCACATTTTTACATGCTAATTGATTGAGATTTCTCTAAACAGGCACATGCATGATCACAACTAAATCTCTCTCTAATATTATAGGCTTTCTTTTTCTCCCACACAGTGCTAGTCATGTGAAGGCAAGAAAACCAAAAAGTCTGAATAAAGAGACAATAAATATCTTGACCAACGTGTTCTAGAGAGATATTCTAACCAAGAGCACTGCCTAAAGAAAATTTAGACAGATAATGGAAGCACATGAATTAAGAAAATAAATCCCAGGCATGCAGTCATGCAACAGCAGGCAAATCAGGTATATTTCTCTTTTATAGACATGGATTATGGCATTAATTATATTCTTTAATTACACTACATTGCTAAGATGCCATAAAGGAAGAAATAGCATAAAACATGAAGTACATAAATGTTTTTATTTTTGCGAAGTGTTCAAAATAGATTATTTTTAAGACCTCTTCATCGATAAACAATAAAAAGGTACAAGGACTATTTCATGATTTGTAGCAGTCAAACGTAGAGCAGTTTTTCCCTGCACTATGATACAGTTACCAAGATACTAAGTATTTCTAACCACCATGTGCAGGATGCAGACAAGTTGAAGTAGAAGGCTGTACTCAAAGCATTAAGATTGCTTACTTGACACTGAAGAGCACATCAATTAGGAAGCAAGTTAAATGGAAAAGAAATCAAACCAGAACAACTAGAGGTGAATTTTTAATTTTAGAAGCTGTTCTTTACTAATTATCTTCTGCTCTCAGTAAAAGATAAGCTTTAATTATTTTGTGGAAAACCCACTATATTATTAACAAATGGCTGACAGTACAAGTATCAACATATTCATGCTATTAAAGTTCACAGCTAAGTTACTTTTCAGAGAAGATGGTCATGTTTTATGCTATTTAGATTAGCTCTAAAATGGTTGGTCTAATCTGAGACAATCATAACGTTGTTATTTCTATGCTCTAGAATCTGCCACATAAAAAGGCCGTTACGTGCAGGATCTTACCACTAACAAGGCACTATCATCAGTATGCTGAGACCTTCTGGATGGAAAGGGACACTGGGAGGTGGGAGAGATGGAGTAATGTCAGAAACACACAGAATGTCAGAAACACACGGTATGTGAACAGACAGACATTTTGGAACATGTACTGCTTGTTTATAGCATTTTGAGGCTTTTTTTTTTTTTTAAAATCCATGAAGTATACATAACTGTGTAGGAATATATAGCCATATGACCCATGAATTATAGTGTATTCGTATTACTTAAGGAATCAATCATTCTGCTTTCTGTGTTGTCTCAAGCAAATACAGACAACTATGTATTCACAGTTCTTACTGTGGTAGAACAAAGGACCCTTTAAAAGAATAAATTAAGAACAGAAGAACATTAAGAAGGATAAGGAGCAAAACCTATTTCAATTACCCCATGTTTCAGTAATTTTCTAACAAAAAAGTTAGTCGGAAAATGCTGCTAAAGAACTATTCATATTCATTACATTATTAAAAGTTTTGATCTGATTAACACTGCCAAGTGAATTATCTTCCCTTGGAGGAAAGTGGGATGGCAAGCAGAAATCTGATGCAGAGAATGAACAGATGTCATTGGCTCAGCTCTGTATATTCGAGAAGACTGAGCCTTGTATGATTGTTGTTCCCCACTGACTTACTGGTTTTGATTATAAAACTACACGAAAATAAAACTTTTTAAAAAATGTATTTATTTCTTTTTCTAATAGCCCTCAAAATTCTAATGCTTAATCTTTCTGGAATGACTGGTGATAGAAAACCAGGAGAAAGCTGATCAATGAAAGATGACTGCACCACAGTAACTTGTCTGAATACTCCCGTTAGAAACTTAACTGTGATGCTCACAAGGAGCATATTAAAATGGAATACAAAATGTATTTTCTGTATTGAACATAGAAAACATACAAGAAACAATAAAACAGCACATGCAGACAGGCAATCTACGTGAACAGAAGGAAACCTTAGACTGATCCCGTAAGCAAAAAAAAAAAAACAACAAAAAAAACCAACCCAAGTCGTATTATTAAGCATGAGAAAAATTATGCTATAACTCAGTCCTGAAGACTCCTCCAGAATCGGGAAAATATCTCTGATGGAGAGAGCTAAGAATTCAGGTGCTGACATCCCTAGTAATAATCTTATTGGACTCTTACCTCACTATCCAGGGGACTTTGCTTCTGAGGACTTAAGGATGCTTTTTGCTACAGAGAAAAAGGAAAAATGAAAGACCAATTTAAGCTAATTTAAGCTCTCCACTGAGCTGAAACTTCACTGATTGATATTATTAGTAAAAAAACTAGCCTTTATTCCATGTGAAAACAAAAAACCAAAATTGTTTTTTCATATTAAAGAGGCAGAATAAACCCAAAATATAATCCAAGGGAGGAATTTAATTGCTGAGAACAAAGTGTTCATGAATAACAAAAGCAACAGAACTGGGGGGAAAAAACCCCAAACGAACCCTCCCATCCCCCCCGCCAAACTGAAAACCCCAAAAGGCTCATCAATGAAAAAAATGCATCCTAAATATCTAAAGTCTTTAACTGAAAGACTGAGCTGAATCTTTAATAAAAGTAGGTTTTCTACAAAAACATTGCCAGGGGCTTGAGATTAGTTAGTGCTAATGAAAAGCCTAGTTTCAGGCAGCTACAAACCTTTTTCTAAACTAACTTTATACATTACATAAATGCAATAAGACATTCTTTTCCTCTCTGCAGACCACCCTAAGCCCAAAATATTAACTGTAACACTTCTTAAATTTGTGATGGCAAGATTTGGGTAGGTCACCAGAGAAGCAAACAGTAAAATAAATTTAAATCAATTAGCATATTAACAAGTTTGCATGTTAAGCAGCAGACTACTTCATATTGACTGCAGTGAAAGAGAAAGCAAAGATGCAATGTCCACTGCATATCCGATGTACCCTAAGTTTGCACCCATGCTTTACCTGGAGGTAACTTATTTATGCATCATAAAATAAAGCTCAACATGACCTGGCAACGTGCACTTGCAGCCCAGAAAGCCAACTATGTTCTGGGCTGCATCACAAGAAGCGTGACCAGCAGGTCCAGGGAGGTGCTTCTGCCCCTCTACTCTGCTCTCATGAGACCCCACCTCGGGTACTGCATCCAGCGCTGGGGTCCCCAGTACAAGAAAGACATGGAGCTGTTGGAGAGAGTCCAGAGGAGGGCCATGAAGCTGATCAGAGGGCTGGAGCACCTCTCCTGTGAAGACAGGCTGAGAGAGTTGGGGGGGTTCAGCCTGGAGGAGAGGAGGTTCCAGGCAGACCTTATAGCAGCCTTCCAGTACCTGAAGGGGCCTACAGGAAAGCTGGAGTGGGACTGTTTACACGGGCATGGAGCGAGATAGGACAAGGGGTAGTGGCTTTAAGCTGAAGGCGGGTAGCTTTAGATTAGATATTAGGAAGAAATTCTTTGCTGTGTGGGTGGTGAGGTACTGGAACAGGTTGCCCAGAGAAGCTGTGGAGGCCCCATCCCTGGAAGTGTTCAAGGCCAGGCTGGATGGGGCTTTGGGCAACCTGGTCTAGTGGAGGGTGTCCCTGCCCATGGCAGGGGTTTGGAACTAGATGATCTTTAAGGTCTCTTCAACACAAACTATTGTATGATTATAAAGAAAATGGAGAAATAGAAATTGCCATGCCTGCCCAAGAGTGCAACGTACAAGTGTTAATGATCTTGGCAATTATTTTCCATCAAGAGATTCAGAAAAGATAAAGTATCAAGTAGGTACTAAAAGGAAGTACCTTAACAAAGTCAAGAACAGCTTCTCTCTGGATCTGTTTTGTTCTCATCCTCTCTTCCTCATACTGAAGTGCTGCTAGCTGGGCCTCCCGACGGGTACGCTCTATGTGCCTGCGATGCAGCTCAGGATCTGTATTAGGCACCTGGAACAAAACAGCGTATCAGGCTGTAAAGACAGATGGGTTATGGAGAAACAGTCCATGCCTTATGGCTAACATAAGTTTGGTTTTGCATCAAACTCATCCAAAAGATTAAAATAGTAGAGTTCAATGTATTACCTGGCTGTGGTGACTTGATAGAAAGTAAGGTGAATCAGCTGGGGGTCTGACAAATGGAAAAAACAGAGACTAAGTATACTTTTTATTTTAAATATAAACAAATTTTCATACATGAGTTGTCAGTGACACACAAGTATCTCATTAAATCAGAAGAGTAAGCAAAGCTGTTAACAATTTAACACATTGTGCATGACAGATTTTGTGCAGTCATTTCTCTCTCTTCTCCTGAATTGTGATAAAATTTTTCTACAGTGCCAGATGTACCAATGGGATTGTACATTTGGCCTCTTACACTGAGGTATCTAGTACTTTATAGCCATTCTCTAAGAGCTGGTTAAGTAACCAATCCAGGAACTTTTCAGATGATCCTCATTTAGAGGAGCAACTGACCACTATGGTTATTTGGGGGTGGGGAAATAGTAGTCAGTAGAAACTATATGTTTCTTTTCCCTACCTCTCTGTCCTGTCCACATAACTCCTTTGTACTTGGTGATGCTCTCTGTCCTGCATCAAACTTAGAGTTTCAGGTCTTCGTAATTCATCAGTATCCCTGTGGGTAAACACCAGGTGGAAGGGGGATTGGCCACTGATGCATATAAACTACTGTCAGATGAATTCTTCTCTAGATTACAGCTGGTTTTGTAAGAGCAATTGCCTAGACAATTAGCTTCAAATAACCACAAAGGTGAACTTTAGGATGACTGAAAAAATCACGTTGTGATACTAAGTCAAATCACAACTACTGCAGTTCATGAGCAAATAAATTTAACTTGATTAACAATGATTTCAAAATACAAAAATATGGAATCTCTCTCAAGACTACGTTCTGGTTATTGCGGCTCTTATTCTGCTCTGGAAAGGACAGAATTATTGTCAAACATTAGCATCCTCTGATATTTTCTGAACAAATCTGCTCAATTCCCCAGTCAAGTGATGACTTTCTAACTGTCAGTGAAACAAGCCATCAAAGTCACAAGGGAAACAATAACCCGTCTCTTATCCATCATATCAACAATAAAAGAGAAATTTGGCAGTCATTTTTTTTTGCTAGAAGGCAGCTGCTAGCACTGAAACAATTCCCAAGGTCCACAGTCTACAGCACATTCCCTGCCATGTTGCTACCTAGAAAGAAAGTAGATGGAAATCGAGTAGCTTACTCCTGACAGCCTAGACTCTGCAACCTTCGCTCCTGAGGCAACTATGGAATAAAGAGACACCAATGCATTTCCAAAAATGTCAGTCATGCTGCCTGCGAGTAGACTTATTATCTATTCCGCACGGAGAAGCTTAAGAGATGTGAAAGATCCTTATGCTACAGGTCTCGTTACTTAAATTAGCACTGATGCACATGACAAATCCATTACTGTGCTGTTTTGAACGGACAGGACTGGGTTCAGCTGAGAGCCAAGAAGCATATTCAGACCATATACTAGATGCTTTGCTGCATCAGGAATGTGCCACAGTTTGTCCAGAGGCAAACACTGTATTTACTGAATTGAATCAACTAACGTAAGTACTCTTGAGATGAAGTCTTCATTACATCCAACTCAGAGTTTTAACAGCTCCAGCATGCTGAAGAAAAAAAATCAGGCTGCATGCCAAGGCATTTGCACAGAATTATTGTGGAAGCAGTTTGCAGCTTGTGGTTGCCACAAATGAAACATTTGACTAATACTAGCTTAAAATATAAAAAAATTACTCATTGTCATATGGCCATTTTTCCACAATTTTGAAGGCAACAACAATACAACCTCTTTTTAGTGCCTCATTAAGAATTTCACTTTGCTGCAGCATAGTATGAATAAACTACAATTCATTCAGATCATTGATTAACTACTTCCACATGAAGATCCGCTGCCATCCTTAAGTTAAATTTTGAGAACATTGAATACCCTAGTGAACTACAACTTCCTTTATCATTAAAATCTGTCTGCGTCAACAGCAGCTCTCTCCTGGCTAACTAGCCTTCTCTTGTCTTATTGCCTTCAGACATGTCATGGAATCCAGTGTTTGTAAAGTCTAACTATTTACATGTTGACCACAAATGTTCAAATAGGAAAAAATAAACAAACAAACCCCCCCAGTCTTTCAAACCAAGAGCACTCTATTTGGGAAGAACATGTCAGACTGCTATGTTATTTTATGCTTTACCCGTAGACACTACAGGATAAGGAATGCTGATATATGCTGAAGGAGTTACCCTCCTTTATAGCAGTACAGCTACTGTATCTGCACACTGACTGCATATTTCAAAACTCTTATTAAAATATTGCCATAACTCTGGAAAAATTTACACAATATTCTTGATTTCATTTCCTCTTTCAATACCATTTTAGAATGCCATTAAAAATTAATTTCTACTGACAGCCTAAGTAATGACGTACTGCTAGCAGTTGTCTTTTTTTTTTAACATTCCTAGTACAATTGAGCTGGTTTTCTGCTGAGTCCTTGCACATTCACTTTCACTCCACAGAATACTGAAATGCTTCAATGGCATATTAAAGGTTGTATCCATTTTGATTTTAGTTCCATTAACAAGAAGCTATATATTTGCTTATCTCCTGTTCTTTTAATTAGACAGCCAAAATCTCTTCTCAAACCTAACCACCTCATTTATATCCTGTCCAACTCTGACCCATATTTTACGGATAAACATTCCCTCCAATAAGCCAAGCCAATCCTTACAGAGTAGGGACATAATTCGAAAAGTCTACTTCATTAAACTAAGCAACCTGTTTTCAACATTTACTCCCATTCTATCCCTTCTTCCCCTGATGTAAGCTCATGATTATGGCATAGAAAAGCACATTTTAAATTAAACTAAATCCCTACAGTACTACAGCTACCAAGAGTCAACCAAGAATGTGACCTCATAGCACATCAGATACTCCATGGTAACTTTCATTATGCTTCCCCTAAACCTGCAGTACGAGTATGTTTATCCCTTCTGTCCTTTATGTAATATAGCTTAAGTCAACTATTTAATCAAAGCACAAATTAAATAATGAAAAGAAGATATTAAATCAGTTTAAGAATATACACTTTAATTTGGCAGATTTATTTACCCAACTGATTTTAAAGCTGAGCATTGGCCTAGAACAGCCAAGCCTTTCGGTCACTGCCATTATTAGAATACAAATTCCTAATCTGGAGCAATAATTTCTAAATAAAGTGCCATGCACATTTCTGGTGAAGCAACAGAAAACAATGTCATTTTCTAAACACATGCAGTAAATGTGTGCTCTGCATTCATCACGAAACTTTGGATAAAGTTACTGTTACCACATATTCTTACCTGTTTTGATGTAAATATCGTCTTGTATCCTCTGTTCTCTGAAATTCTCTGACAGATACAGGCTTTACTGGTGAACTCTAAGCAAAATAACACAGAAGACTGTTACCAGCTTATTAAGAATACTGGACATTAATGTCAGATCTCTTTGTAGATCAGTATTTGTAACTACTGGTATTCAAAATATCTCACAAAGAACCACAAAACACAACTCAGGAATGTTCATTTCCAACTAGGCAAGTTCACTTATTTTTTCCTGCAATTTAAAGAATTTAGCTTCAAGATTAAATATGCCTACTGATAAATTTAAGAGTTTAAAACCCCCCACTATTAAGAATTATGCAGAGAAGTAAATGTAGGTAAAAAAATAATTAATATTTAAGCATGTCAACCACAAAGACTTTCTCAGATAGGTTACTCATGTAGTATGTACAGTGAGACACTGAGCTGCATAGTTGTGTACAGAGGTATTAAGACTGATGGAAAGACAGAAGGAAACATTATGTCACTGAAAATGTCGATTTCTGAGGACACTCTCCAAAAGCGTACCATCCAAATGACTTAACAGGGAGCAGTTTTCTCCATGCGTTCACAGTAGTGGTTGCTACAACTGGAACAAAAGCATCTTTCAGCCTTGGCAATTCATACAATTTCAAAGCAACTCTACTGAATTTTATTAAAGTGCACACGAATCCTTGCACAGCTAGAAAGCAGTGAAACAACATGAGCTAAAGAAAAGTGACAGCAACTTTACTGGAATCATTGCCCTTCTCTGCGCCAGGACATCATTTGGATACAGTAAGCAATCAATAAAAGCAGCTATTATTAGCAGAGTACATTGTGAAGGCTATCAACAAATATGTGAAAACAAACTTCTTCCATATGTTGCAGGGAAATGGGTGCACATATCCTGACTCTCAGGAGTTACGCTGCAGTTACTGAGATTTCTAAATGCAGCATTACAGTGCAAAAATTACATACCAGCTCAAACAGAAAGATAATTGAGAACAAAAATGAAAAAGATACTGTTTAGACAGAAGAAGAGAGACACTAGTTTGCCCTCTTTTTTTTCTCTTTTTTTTTAGTGTGAGAGAAAACAGGGCAATGTCCAAGTTACACCTGTTTCTAGACATTTGTAAAAAGCTGTCTGGAGAGCTTTCTAACCTCTCTAGTTGTTCGTTTAACTGTATACTTTTACTGACTGAAAACAGTTTCATCTGAAACTACAGATGGTGGGTTTTATTCAGAAAGGCGACTATATACATATCCAGGTCTGTACCCGTGGGTTCAGAGCCTTGCTCAACAGTAAGAAAGAAATTGTTCTCTGCAAAGAGTAGGCTTTCTGAAAAGTCTGAATATTTAAGTTAGTCTAAACTTAAAATGGATGCTCAAGACATTGAGTTTACTGGCAAATAACTTATAATCATTGCTCTACTAAATCTTTATGCTGATAACAATTAACATTTTTCCCTTGAGAAAGTCAGTATATGTTCAGTACTACCAAGTAAATGTTCACAATTTTCTAGGTATCACTAATTACCAGTTGGAAGCGTCAACTTCAATGTCTTTTGAAGACAGTGCTCCTTTGGAAAAAACATTTACTTCACATATGCCTAAAGCACAAGCTGTCAAGAACCCACATTACAGGAAAACAGTGTGGCTGCTTTAGACTTATTCCACGTCTCCCAAAGGCCACTTGGGAGTCACTAAACGATCCAGCTCTGACCCTCCACAAAGCACAACACCGTGCTCTTCTCCAGATCAGACCTAATTTTTTAATTTTTTTTTTTTAAATAATAAAAAAACACAAAGAAAACATCTGAAGACAAGAAGCATTAATACCCATCACAAAGGCTTTCCTGGGGTGTATGAATTTAACTAATTTAAGTAAAAGCACCACCTCGTTAGAGATTCGCCGCTGGTCAATATATGCCATGAATTGTGAGCTGAGGCTGTCTGAGTCCATGCACTTGGGTTGCCTCACCTCTTCCTCCTCCTCTTCTGTGGCACAGCTATCAATATAGTCGATCTGATCAAGATCATGTTCCACTTGACATACATACACAAAGGAAACACCCATAATTAGATAACCAACAGGAGAGGAAAAACCTCAAAAAAAAAAGCAATGTCAGGAACTAAGGCTCTACTGTTTTTCTTCCATCTGGGAAAGCTCAGCCTAAAAGCTCTTGAATTTTGCCAGGTCCACTAACATTTGTTAAACATGAAATTTTGAAATAATGATAAAATTAATCGTTTTTAAAAAGCAGTGAGAAACATACATCAAGCACATAGTTTTAAAACACTGGCCGCAGATACTTTTGCAGTGACTGAAAAAGTAATCTAAATACTATGGCGTTTTTTCAATACCGAAAACTATCCATCAAAATCTACCAACTAACATTAAGACTGTTCAAAAATTTATGTACATTTTGAATCTTTTCTCTTGCTTCGAATTCATCTCCTTCAGACAAATTAGAATGGATGACAGATACTTCTACATTTTACTACTACAACAAAACAGGAGGCAGCATATCCAAGTTATGTGGATACAAATGCAATGAATATAAGAAGTGTATGTGGAAATAATGAAGGACAGAAAGCAACAAAATCCCTCTAAAACAGTATAAAAGCACCTGCAGTTTAATTTTAAAAAGACAAATGAAAAGAAGAAATTAGCAACCACTGAAATGAGAGCAAGAAACTGCCTAAGATTGATTTTCCCTTGTGGGGGTGATATTATGTAGGGCACTTTTTTTACTTGTCACTGCTTTTACACATTCTGCCCAGGGATTCTGAGAGTCATGACATTGAGCAAACTACCCTGGTAAAAAAATACTGTGCTGGGGATGCAGGGGAATGCATAAGCTCCCCTTCTGAGCACTAGAGGTTTGGGTTTTTTTTTTTTTTCCTTAAAACTCTCCCCAAACTTGCTCCAGACTCTCGCAGACATTCTTTTTCTACTCCCCCACCCCTTCCCTGCTTGTGTAAAACAGACTTCTCTTTGCCTCACCACACAATCTAGCAACTGTTACTGCCAAAGCCACCTCCTCTGCTACTACAACTATCCAAAACAGCATTCCTATACACTTTGGCTTCATTAAATCTCCATCTCAGTTTCAAATCTTAAAAAAAAAAACAAAACAACCCCTCAACAAAACAAATCACACCAAAACCCCCTTATTTCTAGCCTTGCTTATTAAAGAATAATAACAATAATATAGTAGAGAGTGAAAGACATTAGTATCTGTGTTAGGAACACAAAATTGGAAAGGATCTCCTGGATCACGGACAGACCCTCTCAGACACTCCTACTCATCAACTGTCCATGCTCCATCTTAAAATACTGGTGAGGCATTTTGAAATCCCTGGTGTACAAAACCGAAAGAACAAAATAAAGTTAGTCTTAGAGGTGAAGCTGGCAGCACTACCTGTTATTAAGGCCGCCCACAGCTTCCCATAACACCATGTCTTCAATTCTTCCAACTTTGCTAGAATTTAATTGTTTGAACTGAATTTTTTTATCCGTTAATGTGTAAAAGAGTGTGAGGCAACCAAAAGGGTTCAGATATTTCTAGAAGGTGGCAAAGAAAACAAAACATTGTGACAGAGAAGAACAAGACCAAGAAAAGAAGATGACAAAAGATGAAGAGGGGGATGAGGAGGAAAGAAAGAAAAAATAAGTGGGAGTTGGGCACAGGAGATTAAAACTAGCTGTGAGGAGCAACACTCAGATAGGGAATATGAACTGGAGCCATTAGGGGAAATGGAAAACAGGGAGCAGCTGCTGAAGAAAAATTAATCAAAGTATATGGGGATGAGATCTAATAATCAGCAGTGCAAAAAAATGGAGAATAGGGAATGACTGAAAAACCCCAACAAACCAAACCTAGAAGAATGCTAAAATTGGGACATATAAACGAGAAGAGGCCTGAACTGTGAGGCAGTGTTAGCAGCAGATTATTGGAAGTTAAAATTCAGAATGTCTGCATAGATCAAGAAACATGGAAGCACTATCACCTCTTGAACAAATATGAGGGTGCTACCATAGGACTGCAGGACAACAAACTGAGAAGGTGCAAAAAAGCAACGTCACTCACATATATATATATACATTTATCAGTCCCTCTTAGATGGCTTGTGCATTTTGATTAAAATCCAAGACTGCTGAATGAGGCCCTTTTGCTACTTGGAAATATGAAATTCCCTGACAAAATTGCTCATCCTGATCTGATGCAGTCAGCACAGAGCACTGTAAATTTTCCCCAGTAGCTCAAGCAGCAAAACTCCATGCACCGAAATCCAAGATTCCAAAATACTCTTTGAAGCATGTGGAGACTGCAATATCACACATATGCAGAAGCTGACAATGTTTCCCAGCTAATCCTAATTCTGATGTTATTTGATTTTGCCTTGTAACATCCTTGTAACACTACATCAGTGTTTTTACATTGTTTACACAAGTGTGGTTTTGTGTAATTCCACCTAGACCTTTCTCTTTTTCCTCTTTAGATAACCTACTATTTATAGCAAATATTCTGGAACTTCGATAACGATGACACAATAAATATTGTTAGCCAAAGATCACTGTTTACCTCCACCATTAGTTACGACTGTGCTCCCTCGGTTTTCTTGATACTGACTTTCTCTTCGCAGTCTCTGTTCTTTAGTGATCTCTGCCACACGTAACGGGAGATCTGAGAGCTCATCTGTTGGCTTTAGAAAACAAATAGTGAAGTCAAGAAAACAACTTTTCTTTGGAAACATCATCTTGTAAGCTACTACCTCTTGATTTGTGCTTTTACTTCAACTGTCCTGTTTTGCACCTACAAAACACTAACTTAAAGCAAAATACAGCTATAGAGTATTGTTTTTAAAAAGCATATATTTAAGCTTTCTTAAAAAAAACAGCTTGACTATGGTTTTGCCTGCAGTATCTACAAGTGCATGAAAATATCCCAGGATGGAAACTCCTAGAACCCTCTCAAAAACCAAGCTAGCATACAGAGTATAGCTCACTGAAACACTTTAGGTCTTGGCTACAGCCTTTTCTAGCTGTCCCAAGGGGAAAAGGGAGCTTCTTCCTGGAAAGGATAACTGATAGTCTTCTTGCTAAGAGATCCCATTTTCCTGCTTCTAAATGGCAAACAGATTTTATTTTTAACATTTGAAACAAGCTGCAAAGAAAGAAGGTGAAGTTTCCATCTTTTTTGAACCTTAATTTTCATGTTCAGATTTATTCTACTGAAACAACTACTCATGAGTAATTGTAGTTGACTCAACATTGTAATATGATACAGTTACAAGCTTTTTCTAAAATGAGGAACCCCCTTTTCCCCATCTTTTATGCTCCAGTAAATTCATCTGTCAGACACTATTATATACATTTACCTTATTACTTCCAACTTTGTGTCCATCCCATATAAAATTATGCTTGTTTTTCTCCAATAAAACAACAAATAATTTTGGCTCAAGGCAACTTGCACACGAGCATATACATGTTACCTATTGAATATGCTTCCAGACACATACTTATTAGTTCTCTTTCTTGTACAATACTGCACTCAACAAAAATAAAGCTGCAATACTTACTTCATTCCCTGACCATCTTTTGTCTCCACTGTCCACACTATTGAAGCCAGAATCAAGTGCTCCGTATGGACGACTGGAATAGAGTTCCTCATGGCTGTTAAACACAGAGTTTTAGTTACTGTAATATAAAGACTACCAAAAGCTTCTCAGCTACTACAGAACAAAAGCAGAGTAAGCTACCAAGCACAGTTGCGGTGTGTTTACAAGCTCAGAACATTAGAAAGCATCATACTGCATTTGCCATATAGAACAAGAGGCATATGCTTACAGCTGCATACTTGTCAGTCAGCTGTCCACCTGCCACTGCTTAGCATTTTAAGAGCTAATCTGATCCAAACTATATATCCATACTTCAGACATTTCCCAAGCAGAAATTATGACAAAGAAAACTGCAGTGGTCTCTTATTTCACTGTTTAACAAGTCAAACTTTCATTTTCCACTACTCGTATGTTTTAGTTAAAAACACTGTCCCACAAACTTATGAATAAGTAAACATAAACCCATGCAAAATTATTAAAAATACAGATGTTTCAGAATATACTTCTACACAAAAGCAAGCAGAATGTATTGCACACTTATCTTCTGTATCATAATTACCTAAAAATGGTGCAGTAAGCTGGACACTATTTCAAATAATACAATAAATATAGAAGTACAGTTTTCATCTACAGAGCCTGACTTTGTCAATGACATGTCTAGACAAAGGCATTAGACATGTGCCTAGTGTTACAATACACATAACCAAAGAGCCATACAGTTCTTCTCTAAATTTCTGGGCTCAGAAACTACGTAATTCAGCAGTACAGCCATCACAGATGTCAAGTCTGGCAACTGCTGCAGATAGCTCCAGTAAAAGAGACAATGGGACTTGTCTGATCCACTGCAGATGGCATTTCACAATGACTCAACTGTCCTACTGGCACTCAATCCCCCAGGGAGAACTGCAGCAGTAATTACTGCATAATACACAAGGAGGAATGAATTTCAGGAAGCTAATTGCTTCACCCCATCATAACTAAATTGCAGGTCATTTTCTCACTGGTATTGCTCTCAAGTTGTTGCTCCCTCTGAAATTCCTCTTTCAGGAAATACTTATTTTCTAATTACTATTATTATTATTACTACTATTATTATTATCATTAATGCAGCACTGTATCCATGCATGGGAATTTGTAGAACAGTGCCGTTCTGCCGCCCATTACCCTGGGCTATTTTAATTTTCAGATAGACATAAAATAACAAGAAATAAGAGGAGGTATGGAGGGCTACAGATGAGAAACATTAGGCTATACATCTGCTTCTCTGTAGATCTAGATACTGCAAATATACACTGAAAGACAAGCTCTTGTACCTGCAGAGTTTTGATTAACTCAGGAGTTTCACCTTTATGGCCCTGTATTTGAACAGGAAGATCACCTGCATAATAAACCCCAAGGAAGAAAAAAGGGGAAAGAAAACCAACTCCCTTCTTTTGGGTGGGGAAAAAAAAAAAGAATGACCATGAAATCGCCCAGCACAGTTAAAGAGCTATTAACTTGAATCACTGACAATAGAACCATACTTATGCTAACAGTTCACAGTACTTAAATATTGGATTTAAAACATGGGTCAAAGAAAAATCCATCTGTGGTATAATTCCATTTTAAGTGCATCAATATTTTCAGAATCTCCTAAGAACCCTGTTCTAAGTTGAACAATTATTGCAAGAGCAACAAAACGACTATTTGGCTACATCTGAAAAATGGGGAAGTATTTTGATATAAATTTTCTTCCTTTTCAATTAGAGATTTTGAAAAGCTATACATCTAACACTAAGGTTATATGGAACCTCAAAAATTCATAACACTGTTCCCAGAACTCTTCTGCTTTTTAAACACAACAGCTGCTTTCTGTCTCCCCAACTCTCACATCTAAAAACAGCTCTTCAATGCTGTGCAGTTCACACATTCATAATCATTCAGTAGCCATCCTGAAATCAGTAGAGACTTAAGACCTGACTAACAAGCTACAAGGAACAACAACTAGGCATTTAGATAGGTAAGAGCATTCTGGGGCAACTACAACTTATGCAGGAAGCTACATAAGGCTTGAAATCAAAGGATGAGAAGGTAAATGCCTGGTAAGACCAACAGTCAAAGGAAAGACAGCATTTGCCAACATTTCAGAGACACAGCTCCAAAGCCACACTAAAACACATATTTTTACCTCCTGTAGGATAGAACAGTTGCCCAGTGTGTTGGTTTTGCGTGGCA